TAATCTGATAAATGTTGAGGTGCAGTTTTGCTTTTAGAAATAATCATTACTTTAGTTAATAGAAAGTGCAAGTACAGTATGTTTTGATGATATTTTGTTCCTGTACATGGGGGATGTACAGGTCTTTTGTATTCATGAGTTAAACTTTTGTAAATCACTAACAAGCTTCAGAGAAAATAGCTTTTTCACAAGCATATTCAGAACATGTAATGTAGTGGCAAGGGTATTGCTGTAGCACCTGCTTCAACCAGCATATAGTTATTGTGCCCTGAAGAATAAACCTGCAACAGTATCTATCCTAATTCTCAATTGGTACAGTATTTTAGGCAGCTCTATGATTAAATATATTTGAGAGCAATATGTCAATAGTTTGCAGGTGATATGTAGCAACAGGTCAATCCTGATGTACAGTATGTGTATTACCTTTTAGACCAGGTTTTGAAGTAGTCACTCAAATCTTAGGTCATCATGGTAGGAAAATTTAGAGCAATACAGTTGAGGGGGTGGGGCTTTTGGCAATAATGGACAAAACCTGAAGTCCAGTTTAACTTAATTTAATTTCTTTTCTCTGAGTCTACATGCCTGGGTGGAAGGGAGCCAGAGAAGCCGAGCGTCGCATGATACATACCTCACAAGCAGGTATCCATGTAACACCAGCGTTCTGTGTGGTGGTGTTGTTTCTCCTGTAAGATATTTATACACAGGTTTTTCTTTTTTTTTGTTCTTAAGTACATTAAAGACAGTACATCACCATCATTTGTTTATAATTTTTCTGAAAGTGTATTTTAAAGATGTATTTGCCAGTTAATATGCAAATAACTGAGTTATAGATATTCTTTCACAAAAAGGTAGTACTGTGCAGTACAGAGTGAGTTTTTTAATATTTTTTTTTCCATAAAAACTAGGTTAAGACTATAAAGTTGCTTTCAGTTATATATTTATGGTACTGCTTAGATGGGTAATATCTTCTCTTCTGGTTTTTTTTTTTTGTTGTTGTTTTTTTCCCTTTTTCGACCCAGTATGTATATTATGCTGAAGTTTTGAACTGGGATTGTTTTTCAGTACTTTAGACGTGGAACTGTGGGTGTAAATTTATTTTTGATAAAGGCTGGGTGTGTTTATTTTATGGTTCAGACCTGCACATTTTGTTTTTGCACAAAAGGCATTTTAAAGAATCTGAAATATATCTGCCAAATACTGAAAAAAGTAATGGTGTGTGCAAGTAAATACTGCATTTCTAGTCAAACGTTGCCATTACATCGTTTTTATATAAAGGACACTTGTGAGAGATGGTGGTTAGATATGCCAAGGACAATTATTTTCAATGGTGCCTACACTGTAAAAAAAAAAATAGAAAATAAAAAAATAAATTACTTTTAACTCCTTGTTTTAATTTTAAAAAGATGTTTCTGTTGAAAACTTTCATCTGCTATAGAACTGAAATTCAATTAGAATTTATATCTGAGAAAAAAGTCTGGAAATAGTTTTTGAAAACAATAATGTTATGGATTAAATAAATATTTTTATAAATGTAAAAGCAGCAAAAGTTGTAAATACAGTTGATCTGAAGCTTTACAAAATAACTGCATCACAGAAACAAATTGTAGTGCTCCTCTAGCTTCTGTAGTTGGTAGTCTTGTAAATCTGTTTATAGATGAAGCTTATTTCAATGTTTCGGGGGGTTTTAAATGGTTTAAAAATAAATATTTAAGTTCTGTAAACTTTCATGGGCTTGTTCTGTTGTGTTTTATTCTGGATTTTAGTAAGACTTGTGTTCTAGTGCAAGAAAGGTGTTCCTTGCACAGAACTGCATGGTTGCTTTGGAAAGGTTTGGTCCCCCCATGCTGTTCTTGTCCAGAGGACACCTACCAGCAGCTATGCCAGAGGGAATGGATGGAGCAGCCCTAGCGTTCACTGTGATTCTGTTCATAAAGAGGAGTCTTCAGGATATGGGTGTTCAGCTGAACGTGGTAGAGATGTCAGAGTGCTCTGACTCCATCGTGACCTCGGCATTGTGGAGTGAAGGTACAGACAGGCCTGGGCCACAGTTACCTCAGGTTCACTTCAGCAATCTCAACCCACAACTCACTTCAAGGAGCTCCATTTCTCGGAGCTAAAACCATGGTTTTTACTTCCATGTCACTTCACCCCTTTAAGGTGTTTTATGTGAGAGACTGAGGGGAGAGGTGATGGCATTTCCTCCTGGATTTTGTAACTGGTGGCTCTCACCTGCTGACACAGGTTCTTTCATTGGTGCAACTCTTCACGATCCTGGGTAGGTGGTGGTAGTAAATTACTTGGGAAACTGGGACCTGTCCTGTGTGTGATAGGACTGTAACAAGCTGCTGGACTATGGTGCCTCTCCTTTTCCTGTGAAATGGGTGGGATGTTCACTTACCTCCTAGGGCAGTGTGGGGAGAACCTCATCCATGTGTGTATAATACAGCCTTGCTCCCATAGCACAGTCCATTCCAGAAGCTGTCACTGTACTGCACATGGCATTTCTGCACCTGAAGCTTGTGCATCATAAGACTATAACTCCCAAGAGTGGATGTCTGTATTCCTGGTTTCCAGAGAACAGTTGTCTTTCCCCACCACGTTAGTTATTGATGAAGTGTGTAACTTAATCAGTAGTATTCTGTTGCTGGCAGGTAGCTAATGGAATGATATTCCTGCAGGAAACCCATCTTCTAGCTTGGTTTGCTGGGCTTCCCATGGTAAATGGAGAGGAATTGATACTGAAGTATCCTAGTCTGAATCTCAGAATGGAGAAATGTGTTCTTGGGTAGATGAGTCCTTTATCAGTGTGACCATTCTGGAACCCCTTGGTTTGACTTCTCATGCTCCACTTCTGTACATGTAGAATCCTAACTGCTTGTTCTTGCATTTGATCCAATGCCTACAGCTGAATAGGGAAGTGCATAGGTCCTGAGTGTGTTTGCATAAAGTTTAGCAGTTGTTAAAGGTCTGATTTTACCACACTGTTTTATGACTTAACACTGAAATAAAATGTATTTTCCTCTTTGCAGAGTTTTAGTGGTATGGATGTTGGCTTGTCTCATGGTTTCCCAGTAAATGAAGTAACACTTGCTGCAGAGATGAGGTAAATAGACTGAAACCTGTCTTGTGCTTGTCCACAGTGAAGTTTTCTCTATACTGTGTGCATTTTGCTGCTGCTTCTATCCTAACATATATATAATCCCTGCTGGGTGAGGGCTGGCAGAGCTCACTTTTTTCAGGTACTGTGTCTTTTCCCTAAGTCATTCCACGTCCTCTCCATCCTTGTTTTCTTCCCTAGTGAAACACAATCACTTGGGTGTTCTTTTGGGCCAATAGGGCTGAGCAGGGACAAAGGGGAAGGACTCACTCAAGAGCTATTTCAGTTGTTCCTTGATGTGAGCCACCGCTTACTGGGATTGTTCCTTTGTTTCAGTCAGTCCCAAGAAAGGTAGTTTTCACAATGAATTCAGCTTGGAGATGTTAATTTGTGTCACGTAGGAGCCGCTTTGTTGCTGCTGCCCCTTGTGTAGGATGCGTAAGGCACAGTGCTGTGCCCCAGCACTCTTGACTCAATGGAAAAATCCAAAAATAGTTTCCAAGTCCTTGTTTCCCAGTGCTGTTTTCCCAGCATAGTCCTGAATGCCAGAGCTGGCAGCTCCTGGTGCTCTCGGCAGCATGGCTCTACATGGATCCCTCTGGGTGGCACAAGCTCATGCTAAAGCTGACCTGGGCTACCTTTCCCTTGTGTCTCCTCATGCTTCCAGGCGCTGATGGTGCTGGTAGGTTTGCCTATGAGGGACCTTCCTGAAGGGCTGTGTGTGGTGGAGGCTGGGTTTGAAATGCTGCTTTTCCTTAACCCTCTAAATCATGCACCCAGACTGCCATACATCCATGCTGTACTGAGGGGTGGTCCTTGCTCTTACCAAGGTGCAAAGCTTTGGGAAAGGGAAAGAACAACTCCATCACTAGAAAGACTACTCCTTCTTCCAATAGAATATGTGCCAGAGCAGCAAGGTCACAGCTTTGGCATAGGGTATCCAGGAGCAAAAGCAAACCTCACAGTGTGCTTTCTTGATGTAATGCATTTCTTAGGGCAAACAACCAAGAAGGTGGTGGTTCTCAGCAGCTTTGAGGGATCTCAGTGGGTCTCCCCATGTGCTGGGACAGTTAAGGCTCAGAGGGAGCCAGAAGCAGTGGCAGGAGAGGGAAACTAGCCCAGCAGCTCCATGGAGCAATGAGGGCAGTGGGGAAGCGCAGGGGAACATGTCCTCTGGGTGCCTGTGGGGCTGGGGGTGCAGGCATCACAGGGCAGAAGAAGGAACCCAAAACTCTGTTGTGAACAAGTGATTTTTATTGTCCAACTTCTAAAACAAGGGACAGTGATGCACTCAGTACCCATAGCCCAGTTGTTTTTCTGTTTTAACCTGTTTCTGACCTCCCCTGAGCACCCTGCTCCTGGCAAAATTCACTGAGAGCAGCCCTGAGAAGGACTTGGGGGTGTTGGGTGAGGAGAAGCTCCCCATGACCCGGCTTCAGTGTGTGCTTGAGCCCAGAACCCCCCCATGTGCTGGGCTGCACCCCCAGAGCGTGAGCAGCAGGTCAGGGAGGGGATTCTTCCCCTGTTCTGCACTCTGGGGTATAGGGGTTGAGTACTTCTGAACACTCCTCTGCTGTCCATTACCGCATCCTCTACAGCTAAAACCACTCTCACAAGACAGACCATCACTGTTTCACAAGCAGGAGTGTAACCCTTCCGTGGCCCCAGGTCAGTGCCAGCCACCTCCTGCCGGTGCCAGGCACCTAAGTGAAATACCTGGACCTGCACGTCCTGTCCTCCGCAGCACGGGTGGCGAAGGACACCTCCTCATCCTCTTCATCCAGCTGCAGGCTGCCGGAGCTCAGCCTCACGCGGGCCATCGGTGCCCGCAGCACACGGCCATACAGGGAGCAGTGCTCGGCGGGCAGGAGGGTGCCAGCCACCTCCTGCCGGTGCCAGGCACCTAAGTGAAATACCTGGACCTGCACGTCCTGTCCTCCGCAGCACGGGTGGCGAAGGACACCTCCTCATCCTCTTCATCCAGCTGCAGGCTGCCGGAGCTCAGCCTCACGCGGGCCATCGGTGCCCGCAGCACACGGCCATACAGGGAGCAGTGCTCGGCGGGCAGGAGGTCGGGGTCGGAGTCGCTGGACTCAGTGCTGCTGCCCAGGTACCGCTCAGTGGAGCGCCGTGGCCCCAGCACCGGCCCCTGCGGCGCAGGCATGTGCCAAAAGGCTCCCCCTTTCCTGCTGCTCAGTGCCGGGCATGGCCCCAGCGGCCGGAACTCGGAGCCGAAGGGGAAGCGGATGGTTTTCATGTCCAACTGGCTCCAGGACCGCTTGGGGGGCTGCTCCTGAAGGCCGTAATCGAAGGAGTGAGCCAACGACCTGCTCTGCCCTGTTCTCCCCATGCACGCAGCCTCATGATGGAGCTCCCGGCCCTGAGGCCCGCTTGGGCTTTGCCTGGCGGGGTTTG